GTTTCCATTCTCACCCTCGCCGTATCTGTTTGTATCACCATCTGATGAATAAACTCACTTGCATCTGAGCTGCCTGCATCTTGGGTCCTTTAATAATCCACACGATGATGTGATCTTACAGCAAAGTTAAAACATTAATAAAAAAGTAAAGCTAATATGTTAATGTGGTGTCACTCTGTTAGGTTCATATCTGACCAACCAATCAGTATTGATCTGTGATTAACTGTATTTTGTCATTTTCTGGATGTTTGAAAAAGGTCAATCATTCAGATTTTACACATAAGAAGGCGACGCCTCTTTAAAGGTAAATATAAATTAAATATCCAAGATTATGTGTAAAAAAAATTAACATTATATTGTTGTATTTATTGTTAAATCTCAAATGAGGTATTAGGCTCCACCTCCTCTGTCCTGATTGGGTGATCAGTCATCAGAGCCGGTCTGTGGAGCTGTGTTTGTCTCTGTGGGCTCCTTTTGTTTTGTGATCCCTCGTTTTCTCACGTTTATGTGCTCGTTAGGTAGATTATCTTTGTATATTTGATTTTCTTTGGAGTTTTTTCTATTAGGGATTTAGAAAATAAAAGTTTGTTATATTATAAATGTCAGTCTGAACCAGAGCTTTAAATTAGGACTTTATGTGAGTCCCTCGTAGCCCGAAGGCCAGGAGACGTAACATCATGAATCTACTTACAGCTTCTACAGCAGTATTTTGACTTCTTCTGGGGTATATGTGGTATTTTGTGATGATATTAACTGTGGATCAAATATACTGAAACACAGCTGACCCCTGCTGCATGCTTGTTGCTGCCATTTGTGTATCACAGCCTGGAAGCACATTCACACACACATTCGGTACCTGCACCAGGTTCCCTTTGCCCATCATTTTAGCCTCTTTTCTCTTCAGGACTTCTTGAATCAGTTGCTTTTTGCTTGATGCTCCAAACAGGACTGGCTCCCACGTTTTCAGATCATCCAGGTCAAACATCATGTCCTACACATGGAGAATATTTCATCAAACCTGCTCCGTTCTGGCTCTGCTGTTTTAACCGTGCACGTGGACTCACAGCACAGCCGTTGCTGCAGTCCTGCATGTTCACAAAGTAGTTGAGGTTGTTCCACACGCTCTCGATGCCCAGGAAGTTGTCACTGTTGGTGGGGTAGCCGATCCCGGTCAGAGGGTCGATGAAGACGTTCTCCTGGACGTCCTGACAGCCCGACAGCACGAGCACCCAGCAGTGCACCCGCAGGCCTCGCAGCGGGTCGGCCAGCTGCTGATCTTTCTCCTGCTCGCACAGAGAATTCATAGTGATGACACAACATACACCATCGTTACTGATCTTCAGTCAGAATATTCATGCAAGTAAAGCAGTCGATTTGTTTAACACTTCAAACCAGTCTCATAAAAATCCAAATACATCGATGAACATGAAAAACGCAAAGGACGAAAAATAGCTACAGTTTAAAAGTCAGATCAAATTATGTAAATGCTTTTATATGATCTTACACTTAATTTTAATTAACAGAAAGTAAAAGACAGACAAGCTTATGTTAAAGGCACCCAGGATGAGCTGCTGCTGCAGGGTAAACACCACCTCGTCTTGTAAACTTTCTTACATAGATCCGGTGCATGTGACTCTTAGCCTATAAATGTCATATCTCATGAGAGCCTTTGTTGTAGCGTAGATGCAGTCGCTCTTACAGAGCAAAGATCACTTTACCTCTTGTTGTTTTTGTTTTAAAAGCAGCGCAGCTTCAGCTTCCTGCTTCTTCTTCTCTTGCTCGGCCAGAAAACGACTCTTGAGCTGCAGCTGCAGCTTCACTGAGTATTTATCATCCTGGTCCTTCTGTTCTGGGCTCACATCCTGCACAGCCTGCACGCAAACACACAACCAAGAAGTCACTTTCACATCTGGCAGTCGACAATCTGATCGTCGACCACATGTGCACGCTGCACGCGCTTACCTTGACCTCGGGGTCCAGCAGGGGGCACTGCTGCAGGCTCTGATCGAGCAGACACATCTCTTTGACGGCGTAGCCGCTGACGCAGTAGGCATCGTAGTCTTCGCCGAGCAGCAGGCTGCACAGCAGAGTGGCATACTCAAAACACGTGGCTCTCTGACTCTGCAGCACCGAGGTGGGAGAGCAAAGGGCCTTCGGCTGCAACGGGAGACACGCACAATCAGACACACACCGAGAGAAGGCGCACGCATGCGTGCATTTATTGATGTGAAGGTGATTATGTTCTGCAGCCTTGTTTCTTTTGTCATCCACCATCTTGAAAAGCTGAAACATGTTCAGAACAATGACCGTATATAAAAGAAAGAAGAGGGTTTCAGGTCTGACAAGTGAAGCTGTGGAAAATATCCAGATTCTCTAAAATCTGCACTTGAGTCTCTCAGAGGCTCGTTTCAATGTGCAGGAGCAGTGGCTGTTAGCACAGGCTGGGTCACTGTAATCAATTGTAGTTTCACTTTGCTGTTCTTTGCTGACTTCTGCTGCTTCAAGGTGCTCAGAGAAGCTCTTTGGTTGCACCAAGTCAACATCTGAGTTGCTGTTTCTTTTCTATCAGCTTAAAGTAGTCTGAACTTTCTCCTCTGATCTCATCTACAAGGACCGAGGAAGTCTTGAGCTTGTGTTTGTCTGACATGGAGCTGAGCAGCTGAAAGGCTGCTGGGTGTAGATGGACTTTCTTTGCCTTCAGGCTGAACTCTCTCTTCACCTAAACACTCCTCATCCCTGCAGATGCTGCACCGATCTGTCTGCTAAATGATCTCTGTTAGAGTACGAACAGAACCAAGTCCAGCTCCAGTTTCAGCTTCTCACAAACACATTTCTCTGAGTGTGACATCATCAGTTGTTGGTCATGTGAGGTGTCTGCATACAGACATGACAGGATGACGCGCAGTTAATGTGCAGCTAAACACAAGCAGCCTGTCATATTAGAATTACGTTATATGCACTAATTATCTGAATTATGAAAATGACGGTTTCACAAATCAGAAACAGCAGAATAAAAGACGTCCTCTCTAACATGTGCTTTAACTCTCAACCACAGAATACAAAAAATATTTGGTTTGCTCCTAAAACTCAAACATTTCTCTGACCAGCTCCTCGGGCGGATCCAGAGGGACCAACGACAGGAAGTCGGCCACAAAAGAGGCACAGCCCTGCCAGTCGAACAGTTCACAGTGGATGGTCGGCGTTGGACGAAGAGTCGTCGACACAAACTTCTGAATATGAGAAGAGACAGACGGCGATGCAGAAAGTATTTAGGGTGTTTGCAGACGTGAAGGTCCAATGGGATCTGTTCTTCAGAGACAGAAAGGTTGAGTGAGATAAACCTACCTTTACTCCACATTCGTTTACAGGACAGAGCAGCAGCAGTTTGCGGTCAGGACACAAGTGCGAGTACTGACGCTGGAAGTTTTCTGCGATGGCTAACAGTCGAATCTCTTCTGGAGAGTTGCTCCTGTAGGACTTGGGCCTGAAGAAGGAGAGCAGGTGAACACGACCTCAAAGCCACCAGCTTTACCCTACATTAATGCCTACATTAACCCCTGAACATCTAATGTTTCGTATTTGAGCTTTTGAAACTTCTACATCATTGGTGGGAATTTTTCCCTCAGAAAAATCGTAATAAATTGCAGAATAGATTTCAAACAAAACTAAACCTCCATTTTAAATAAATTAGATTTTTCTGTCAGTTATTTCATGGTTCAGACTTTAAAGGGATAATCAAGAGAAAAAGAGAAAACCTAACAATCAGACGACCCTCTGTGAGCAAAGGCTTTGGCGAGAGTGGGAAGGAAAAACTCCCTTTTAACAGGAAGAAACCTCCAGAACTCCCTGAC